TATATGTTTTTTTCACAGTGACTCCATTATCTGTAATTTTCAAGACTTCTTCCACAAAATTTATAACCGTCGTCGGACCAAAATCTGATCGGTCCTAAGAAATCACAGGAAAATTTTTTGATTAAGGGTAAGTCTTTTCGGTTACAATTAACTTCAGAGTCTCTAATTCATGACTTAGAAGAAAACAAGGTATTAATCGAAATTAAATGGCTGATTTTTACAGACACGCTTTGTTGAAACTTTGACCGAAAGTGGCCTGGTTAGTTATTTTCTTGTAAGTTTTTTCTTGGTAAAAAAGCATCAACCTTAGTATTTTTTTTCTTGATATTACTTAACTAAGGGCTGAACTTCACGATATAAAACATGGGCATAGAAAATATGCGGTCTGAAAATCAGCCTCTGGGGACCCCTGAGGGGCTGATATCCAGAACACGGCTAAAAAATGTCCGTTGAACCTGAAACTTTGGCATATTACTTAAGTCCATATAACGACTTTGTGTACCAATTTTAAGCAAAATCGGCTGATCTTCATTTCCAAGTCTGGCCCGGTCTCTCAGGCAGAAGCTCTTAATTATGATTGATTGGTTGATAAACCTTTTGCGGCTCACGGTGTGACGTTTGGAAACTGTTCAGAACGAAGTGGTTTGGATTTTATAGGTCGAGCTGACAAAAGTCTTCAGAGTTGTCTTCAGAAACCTCGACGTAAATTCTTGATATTCATGTAACTATGAAGTAAGATTTACAATTAGTGCTAGGAAATTCGAGTGTGAAAGTGTATAAAAGTAGAAAACCATTGGTCAAGAAGATGTTATTGCGCGAGTGGTCGGCTATTTTCGTAAATGTCATAAATGGCCTCATAACAAAATCACGTGAACACAACAATTTAGTTTTCGTTTCTACTAGGCACGTCAGATGCTGTGAAACTGAAATTTTTTAATGGATGAATAATGTTAATTAATACGAGCGATCCTCTGCAGTTTTTCTGGAGCAGAGAAGACGGCTAAACATAGACTACTAGCTACTACGGTGCAACAGTAAGTTAGTCGATATTTTGTTTAAAATAGAGAATTGGTTCATGCTTAGCGTACGTATATCGAGTTATGGATGCAAGCGGGAAGTTTGAAGTACACGAAAGAAACGTAAGAGTTGCTCGAGGCGATAGCCGAGAGCAAATCTAGCTTCTTGAGTGCTCTCCAAACTTTCAAAGTGCATCCATAACTCATATACGCACAGCTAAAAGCATGAACCAATTCTTTTATAACATGGTGTCAACATATTGGGCGCTAAAACATATTTTATTTGTGATTAATTACAAAGTTCTCACGATGCACGGTGAAGGAAAACAAAGGTTGTTTTGCACCAAGTAATCCAACACGCATTTCGTTTCGGATTCCATGATCGACAAACTGGTTTCAAGTTGATTGACTGAAAAAGATTCAATGCAATGAAAATTTATTTGGAGGCTTCTAGGATCTAACCAATGGTAGCCATACAGATCTGACAAGCTCTGAAAGTCGATTAGAAATATTTCTCATGTCCTCGTGTCTCTAGGTTAGTTTCTACCTTTGCGGGTGCCTTTCGCAAAGAATTCTTACACGCGTCGACGTCAGTTTCAATAAAACGAGGAAGCATGTTTCCAGAATGAATGTTTCCAGAAGCATTCATAGCGCGCGCATGTCTCCCCAACGTTTCCCAGTTTCACAAAACTGAAAACATTGTTTCCAGCGTCAATTTTGGTTCCAAGATGCAAATTATGCTTCCTCTACAAGGCAGAGAATGTTAACAAGAATCCGAGGATGCGAGCAGCTGCAAAACGTTTTCGAGCATGAGCAAGCTAGCAACTAGCACTCATCTAATTTTTGCGAGCAATTCGAGCAAAGGCTTAATTATGCAAGTACTTTAAACTGAATGGGATCAATCAATACCCCTTCTGAGAAATCGCGATTTGTTATATTTTTTATTCGGTATACCGCCATTAATTTTAAAAGCGTGCGTATCCTGCTTTGCGCAGTGCATATCATGCTTTGATGAAGAAGTTTCATTTCGTATCCCTCCTCGAAATTAAGCCCATCCAGAATTCAACCAAAAACGTGCGTAATATGTCATCCCTCTTCTCGGAATTTCAGGAAAGGCGTCGAGTGTTCCGTAGTTTTCACTTTCGAGTCTCTTTTATGCGAACCTTAGAGTGGTAAGTACAACTTATCTTACATTACATTACAAACAAAAATTACCTACTACTTGCAATAATAATAATAATAATAATAATAATAATAATAAAAAGTACAACTTATCTCTCATTTTGTGGCTTTATGCGACATCCTGTTACAAACAAAAATAAACAAAACAAAAAGACTTTATTTAACGAATGTAACATAATTTACTGGTTGCCCAATAGTTTACAATATGGCCCTCCCTAATCTACAATTGAACCTACAATTAAGTTACAATTGAAATGAGGAAGAATAGCAATGATCAAATCGTGAAAACCACTTGATGTAGTGACTGACACATATAATAAATTTACGATCTTCCGTGTATGTGAGATGAGCTACTTTGGAAACGATCTGACAGTCTTGTCCCTGGTAACCGTCCCGCAAAGGAGTGCGAGATGAGACGTTTCTAAAGCGAATTGTCATTTAACACTTTGAAATTTAAAAGCTTGATTAACAAAAGTATGCATTGGTCAAGGCGAAATTATTCCAAGCGAGCTTTTTTTTAAATTCTGTGAACACGGAAAAAGAAATCTTTGTTGTTGTTTCTGCTTGTGACGTCAGATACTGGAAAATGAAATGGTTTTACAGTTAGATCATTAATTTATGCGATCAACAAAATTATCAACAATAACACGCGGATGTCTCGGCTCTCGAGTTTTTCCTGAGGAGGACGGAAGGCTGTACAACAGTAAGTTAGTCGTTATCTTGTTTCAAACAATGTATAATTTCGGCTTCTGCTGATAACACTTTTAAAATTCAACCTTCTAATTTGGGATATCACGAAAACCTCTTGAAATAATTGCATGGTATATTGGTTAAGACGCGAAGGTTCCGAATCAAAACCTCAGCTAGCAGTAATCTGTCATGTAGTTTCATACCGTATCCCGCTATATTTAAAACTCATCCCGGAAGCATACGTATGCGTGATAGCAACACCTGCTTTCTCGAAATTTCGGGAATCCCCGAATGTTCAAGTCGTGGTTTTCACTTTTCTATGGGGACTCTACTTTGCTAAGTAGCTAGAAACTGGAATTGTTTGCCTTCTCGGTTGACAATAATATCTAGTTTAA